ACGAACCCAATAACTCGTCCAATCCGATCGAACTCGATTTGACCAGAAAAATAAACAATAATCCGAATGACCCGAGAAAATTACCTAACTCATTTAACCTGGACCCAAGTGACGATAACCCGAAACCTGCCCAACCCGCCCGATTAACATCTCTAACTTTATAAGTCAAAGGAAATAATTGTATGTTACTCTTGTTCTCATTTTTAAAAACTTTAAATTCTTGTTATACCAACATGCTCCAAAAATAGAAACAGACCGATCACTATAATTAAATTTTAAATAAATTTTTAACTTAATTAGTATGAATAATTAATGATTAGACAACTTATTTTAACTTTTAAACTTGATAATAATACTTTTGTTAGTTTATATTTTAATTGAAAATTTTAAAATAAAAATGGTAAAAATATAATAATTATAAAAATATTGAATTCAATTAAATAAAAATAGTGTTTTCAGTTGCAAAAGTTTATTTTTAAAAAAAAATTGTAAAAGTTTAAACAATGTCATTCAAGAAATATATTTAAAAAAACTAATATATCAAGTTTTTTTAACTAAAATAGTAAAATTGTAAAATATAATAGTTATAAGGATATTATATTTAATTATATAAAAATTGAGTTTTTAGTTGAGTAAAATAGTAAAATGGTAAAATATAATAGTTATAAGGATATTAGATTTAATTATATAAAAATAGAGTTTTTAGTTGAGTAAAATAGTAAAATAAAATAATTATAAAGATATTATATTTAATTAAATAAAAATAGAGTTTTTAGTTGAGTAAAACTATAAAAACCTAAACAATGGCAATTTAGAAATATATTTAACAAATAAGGGTATAATAGACTATTCAAAAGTTTTACAGCTGAACGTACTCTTTTTAATATAGTATAGATATAGATATAGATTGTTGGTTCGAAATATTTAGGCTCATTTCATGATCCAAAATTGAAATAACAAAAGTAGAATTAGAATCGAAATTAGAAAAGTCAATATAGAAACAATCAAATTCAAAACTATAGAATATTTCTACTTTTAGGGGGCGTTTGGTTAGGATCACCCCCCAAATTACTAGTAATCTAAGATCACCGGTGACCAAAGATTACATGGCTTTATGATGGTAATCAAGATCACCCTTAGAGGGGTGATCAGGGGGTAATCCGGATTACCACACCAAACCAAAAAATGTAATCAAACGGGGTGATCTGAGATCACCTGCCAAGATTACCACAAGTGATCAAAGATCACCCCAACCAAACGCCCCCTTAATATACTCCAACCTGAAGATATTGTAATTTTCTAGCATCTGTGATGTTATACAATGGAAAAGAACCTTAAATTAATAAATCTGATCTCAATATTCAAAAGAAATTATTATTAGGTAGATTGCCCGTCAGCCTGCTTGGTTAACGATTTGGTTTGCTCACTATTTTTATTAAGATAAGTAAAACGATGCAGTTTTACTCTCTATACTAGTCAGTTAGCAGTTAATAAGTTGTTACTAAGATAGTTAATTAGTTAGCTATACTTAAGGGTTCCTCTGTATATAAGTAGATAGATACTCTTGTAATTTCTATTTCTATTGATTCTAATAATTTTTGAATATTATCTATAATTTCAAGTTCAAAATAATTGGCCTAATTACGCGTAATATTTGCTTTTGTGTTCACATATTATCACAGAGCTGATTGCCAGTTTGCAACTCTGCAAAAATAAAGAAAAAGACTTGAACGATATTAACGGATGAAAACAATATTCTAAAAAAATCTTGACTGTCTTATTTAATTAATTAAATCAACTTCGTTACTTGAAAAGCAATTGATATTAAATTCTATGTACATTGAATATATTCACCGAGTTGCATCAAGTGATAAGTGACTTGTTTTAATTTAAGTAGGTTTCAGTTTTGAGATCTTGTGTACGTAACTGTCCCGTTGATAGACTCTCACCCATTAAAACCAAGTGCGGTCAGATCCAGATTTATCAGAGCAAAACTCTAGACCTAGATGGAGTAAAAAAAATACATTGAATATATTATCCTAATATAGGAGTAGAAAGAAAAAGTTCAAACAAAATTTACGATCTAAGATCACCCATTTCAAAAGATTTTTTTTTTTGGTGTACCAATTAATATTCATAGATTATTTTCAGTCGATTTCAAGATACCTTCAAAATAGAGATTTAAGCTCTAATTATTATGTAATGATGATGATAAGTGTCTCATTCAAATGTATCAGTATATCATTAAAACAACTTATCATGCTTCGATTTGATTTTGATTTTAAGGATTTTCATGTTTGTCAAAAAAATTTTTTTTTAAATGAAGCAAGTCAATATTGATGTGTAGATTTGATAGGAACAAAAAAGGATGTGGCTAAAAGAGAGAGTCAAAGTGATATATGTAGAGTTGGCATGGAGTTGGCAGAAATTGTGTGGTGGCACTCGAGGAGATTTTGAGTACACGTCTCCATCATGATGTACATGGATTTTTTTATAACTAATTGGAAGTGAATAATTGAGGTTTTAGTGGGATTTTGTTTTGGGATTGGATTTTCTTTTTATAGGACAAAAGTAGAAGAAACTGTTTTTAATTTATAGTCTTTTGAAGATATTTGGGTGTGGGAATACCATCAAATACATCATTAGCTCATGCAATTCATGCAAAGAAAATGGATGGGTGGGTTTCAACTTTTTTCATCACAAAAAAGCAAAAGCATCATTTTGCATATGAAAACCTCCTTTTCTTTCTATTTTTATGGCTACACAAGTTACCATCAATATTCTCATCGAAGTTTTTCTTTCTTAACCATCTCTTCTATCTGTTTCCCATTATATGCTTCTCTCTCTCTCTCTAATTTGCACCAATGAAAGAAAGGATACATGGAGTCATGGGCTATATATATATTTTTTTGCTCAAGAGTCATGGGCTATATATAATTACCTAAAAAGTTAGAAATTTGCAATCTCTACCTACTCTGGCAAAAAAAAAAAAAAAATCTCTACCTACGAGTGCAAACATTAATAATAATACTCTCTTTAGATGGTTTTTATATTCTTTTTAACTAATTTATTTATTTTTGGACAAGGCTACAAGTACTGTTAATCCTCCACTATTTAGGGTACTACTGGATTTGGCTCCTCTCTAGTCCTCTTTTTGGACTGGAGAGGCCAGTCTATCGTTAAATCATGCCACCTGTTTCTTTTTAGAATCAACGGTTAATAAGCCAGTATTGTATTTTAATTACAACACACAAGAAAACATTTAAGCATCGTTTAAAAAAAACAACGGAGTGTTGGATTTAATTTTAATCTAATTGGTTTGGCTCATATAACTTTGGGCTTTTCTTGTCATTAAGGGTTTTAATTGATGGACTTAAAATCCTAGTTAGACAAGGCCTTAGAGAGGTCCATAAGGTTTTAATAATCCTACTAGGGTTAGGACCTATAGGGTTTGTTATAAAAAGGGATGAACCCTCTCCTTTCTCTTTATAACGTAAAAACACTTGACGGCTAGGTTTCTCATCCATCAAAGAAACAATTGAAGTAGAAGGAAGAAAGGAGAAAATCACCATGCTTCAAGATTTTCTAGAAAGGCTATGGATAAAGGTAAGTTGGTCTAACCTTCTTGTTCATTAATATGTACATGGTTGATTTGTTTGGGTTAAAAGATCCAACCATGAAAATTAGGTTTATATTTTCTATAATGGTTTTATTGAAAATTTGCTTTCAATTGGTATCAAGAGCTTGGTTTTAAATCCGATAAATTACCATGAATTGTTGTGTTCTTGAAAGTTGAAAGAACACATTAGAGATTTAAAGCTTCCGTCATATGTCGCAAATTATATTGCTAATTATTATTGATTTGCGTTACTGTTTTTGTCGACTTTGGTTCTGAAATTAATTTGGTCATCATGCGAATCAAAGTTGGCTTGTGGCTCATCACGTGTGTCTAATACTAGTTGCTTGACTGAATTGAATTTCCCTTCTACCATGTTTATATGCCTGATAATTATCGCAAAATTATATCTACTATAAAAGGTACCTTGTGATTTGCGATATGATGCTGCCAAGTATAGATTTTGGTTATGAGCTGTTTCTTAAAATCAATTTAGCAATTGATTGAATCTTGCTTTGAGTTGCCATATGACTCTGTATGGATTAATAGATTTATTTTTTCAATTAAATATAGATTCTGATGCTTTCAATAAAATTGCAATAAAGGATTTTGTTGAATCATGCCTTGATTCTGTTTGAAAGCTAAATCAATTTTTCAAATACTTAGTTCATCATCACGTTTTACTATGAATGGCTTGGATGAATGATTTGCTTTCATAATTAAAGGATTAATATATTATATGTGATTATTAGTTACATATATATAATTTATTAAGGAATGGATGAATATGTTGTTTGTTTTGCCGCATATATTGCTTTCATGAACATCAGAATATTTTGTCGCATATTTATATATACTGGTTTTTGATTTTTCATGAATCAATTAATTTGTAAATCATGTGATGAATCATGGTATAGAAATTACCTTTCAGGAATTAAATTGTTATTTTTTCCCATGTAAAGTTTTGAATCTTGGGATATTAAGGATGTATTATTTAGTGTTTAATGGAAAGGAAAAACTAGCTAGTCACCAAAGTGGTCTAGTTTGAAAAGAATTTAGATATGTAATAAATTAAGCAATTGTTCAAATTAGTGGATGCCATTAATTGTCATATGAAAAGTTGAACAATTGTAGTTATTAATTATATTGCTAGGAGGTCACCCAAAGGTGGACCATTGATTATGATTGATAACAATAAAAGTGACTTATTTACATACTTGGTGAATATTTATGTGCATCCAAAGATGTCTTGCATGTAAATGAAAAGGCAAAGAAGTAATACATTTTGTGGTTAGCAATGTTCCTCATATCGATCGTTTGAATCCAAAAAACAATAATGAATTGATAGAGTGATATGTTCTTCAAAGAAAGAGAATTTGGGCAAATGGACTCTTCGCTGAAGAACCCTCTGGCTACTGATCTCAGTGATGAAGCTATTCGTAGGTCCAAGAAGAAATACAAGAAACGCCGGTCGGAGGCTAGCCCGGACCGGGATGTGGGTGATGGGAGTGATAAGGTTTCATCTGAAACTGTTGTACCTAATGGTAATCCGGATACTTTTCCATCGAAAGGGGCTTCCTACAAGGATAGAGTGACAAGCAATTTTGATGATAAGGATTCCTCATGGGAAGAGTGGACGGAGGATGAGGAAGGAGATGATAGTATTATGTTTGATGATGTTGTCTCTGATGATGAAGATGGTGAGGTTCCTGATTCCTTTGTTAGATTTTCGGCTGAGGAGAAGCGATTGCTTCGCAAGCCTTGGCGAAAGGCTTTGGTTGTAAAGCTGTTGGGAAAAAATCTGGGTTTCAAAGTGCTTTCTTCCCGTGTCAAGTCCTTGTGGCAGATTGAAGGCAAATACAGGATCTTGGACTTGGGTAATGATTATTTCTTATTTAAGTTTCAGAACCGAAAAGACTACAAGCATGTGCTTGATGGTGGCCCTTGGATTATTGGTGGCCATTACCTCTCTGTAAGGCAGTGGACTCATAATTTCCAATCGAGCTCTGATGTTATTCGCTCCAGTGTTGCTTGGATTCGCCTTCCTGCGCTGCCTATGGAGTACTATCCAAGCATGGCTTTAAGGAAAATTGCGGCTACTGTTGGAAGAGTAATTCGGATTGATAAGACTACGGAAACGGTAGATCGTGGAAGTTATGCAAGGGTGTGTGTTGAACTTGATTTGTTAACTCCATTAAAATCTGTTGTTCATATTGGTGATTTAGTCCAAAGAGTGGAGTATGAAGGGTTGCATATGATTTGCTTTGGTTGTGGCCAATTTGGTCATAGGAGGGACGTTTGTTCCATGGTTTCATCTAAGAATTCAGTTGCTGCCGACTGTAATGAGCCTTCTTCTTCTTCGGCTCCGGCTTCATCACCTTCTTCAGAGACGATTAAGGATGGTTTTGGGCCGTGGATGCTCGTCCAACGGCGAAGTCGCCGGCCGGTGAAGGAGACGTCGGATAAAGGAAAGTCAAAGGTGGTTTTGAATAAGGAGCTTGATTCTCGGAATCAATTTCAATCTCTAAAGGGTGTCAAGGCGGATTCAAGGGAGAAAAACAAGGAGGTTACGAGGGAGAAAGCTAAGGCGGTATCTGTGGAGGATCTTTCTAATTCCAATGGGGTTAATGGGTTTGGAAGGAAAATCTGGAAACCGAAAAAGGATATGGGAAAGAAAATGAGTTCGATAGTCACGGGGAGTGAGGATTTAAAGGCAAAGAAGAAAGGTTCTGCTTCTCAATCTTTTATTGGGAATGACTCACCACAGCCTTACTCAGTCTTTGAGAATGGTAAGATTAATGGCCCTCCTTTGGGCTTTTCTTTTAAGGCCGGCTCTTCCAAGCCTGTCAATTTTGATCCCAAACGATTAGAGGATCTTGTTGGGTCTAGTTCTTTTAAGCTATTTAATTCTAGTGTGGAGCCTGGTGGTAATGGAGTTGATGCAAGGCAGTCTCCTTCTTGTCTTGAGGATTCTGCGATGTTTGTAGATGGCAATCATGTTGGGGTGGAGATGTCCTTGTCGACGGATGCATCCTCTCTTCCTCCACAGCAGCCCCCTCAATTGGGATCGAATTCATTAGCTGATGTTCCTGCGGTATTAAATCATGCTGATAATATGGGCGATGGCTCTCTAGCTCGGGACAACGATAATTTGCAGATGGTTTCATCTATGGAGGAGGCTAAGTTTAAGGAGCCTGGTATCTTAGACGACAATTTAACTCATTCTCATGGATTACATCCTATGGAACAGTAGAGGTGCAGGCAGTAAGAATTTCTTACGGCACGCTAGGGATTTGATTGCCGTTCATAGGCCAGTGGTTATGGCGATAGTTGAACCAAGGATTTCAGGATTGAAAGCTAAACGAAGAGCTAGGCGACTTGGCTTTTCTAAATTCCATATTGCTGACCCTGTTGGTTTTGCTGGGGGTGTTTGGTTGTGTTGGGATGATCGTGTAGCCTTTGGAGATTATTTTCACTTCTTCGCAGATGGTCCATGCGGTTGTTACAAAGCCAAATGAAGCACCTTTTTTGTTAACCATTGTTTATGCTAGCCCGGTTTTGGAAACTCGACGCCAACTATGGAGGGATATTGAGGTTTTTGCTTCTAGTGTTTCTATTCCATGGCTGGTGATAGGAGATTTTAATGATGTTACTAGTAGTGTGGAAAAGTCAGGAGGTGTTCCGCCTTCTTTGGGTCGATGTCGCTCCTTTAATGATATGATTGCAGCAGCTAGTCTTATTGATTTGGGCTTCTCGGGCCAGCCTTTCACTTAGTGTAATAAGAGAAGTGGGTTTTCTAAAATCCAAGAGCGGCTTGATCGGGTGTTTTCTAATTTTGAATGGAGGTTGAGGTTCCCGGAAGCAAACGTTATTCATTTTCCACGCATACACTCGGATCATTGTCCTCTTCTTTTACGCTGTGATCAATCGACACCAGTTAACCGCTTGAAGCGTCCGTTTCGCTTTCATGCCATGTGGTTAACTTATGAGGGCTTTAAGGGTATGGTTAGTTCCCTATGGTGTTCTAGCACTGGAGATTTTATTAACAAGGGTGAAGTCTTAGCAGATTGGCTTCAACAATGGAATAGAGACACCTTTGGCAATGTTTTTGAGAAGAAAAAGAAATTAAGAGCAAGGATTAATGGTCTTCAGCGTGCCTTGGCAGAGCATCGTTCCCACCAGTTGGAAAAGTTGGAATTTGAACTTGTTTGTGAGTATAATAAGATTCTCGAACAAGAAGAATCCTTATGGGCTCAAAAGTCAAGGGTACAATGGATGCAGCAGGGAGAGAGGAACACCCGTTTTTTCCATCTCTCTACTATTTCTCGGTGGCGCAAGAATAGGGTCTCTATGTTGAAAACTGATGCTGGGGATTGGGTTATGGAAGGTAATGATTTACGAGAACTTGTCCTTAATTACTACAAGGGTTTGTATGATGTTGATTCTGTTGAGAGGACTCCTTTAGCTCTGTTACAGCATCCTGTAATAACTAGCAATAGTATCCCTGCTCTTCTTAAAGAAATTACTCCAGGAGAAGTTTTTAATGCTTTGTTTCAAATGAAGCCGTGGAAAGCACCTGAGGTTGATGGGTTTCAAGCAGGTTTCTATCAGGAATGTTGGGCTTCGATTGGACCTTCTTTAACTTCTCTTGTTCAATCTGCTTTTGAGACAGGTGCTTTTAATCCAAATTTGAATCAGACTTTACTTGTGCTTATTCCGAAAATTGTGAGACCTGAATATGTTAAACAATTCCGGCTAATAAGCCTTTGTACGGTTGCTTATAAACTCATTACAAAAGTCTTAGTAAACAGGTTGCGACCTTTGCTTGATGATCTTGTTGCTCCTTTTCAAGCCAGTTTTATACCGAGGAGACAGGCTGCTGATAATATTTTCATAGCTCAAGAGGTTATTCATATTGTTCGTAGGTCAAAAAGTAAGAATGGTTTGATGGCAATTAAGATTGATTTGGAAAAGGCTTATGATAGAGTTAGTTGGGCTTTCTTGAGAGAGACTCTAGAGGTTTTTGGCTTCCCTCAGCGCTGGATTTCTCTTATCATCTTTTGTGTGGAGGGTGCTTCAATGTCAATCTTGTGGAATGGTGAGAAAACGGATGAGTTTCTGCTGAGAAGAGGTTTGCGGTAAGGTGATCCTATCTCCCCTTACCTCTTTGTGTTATGTATGGAAAGGCTAGGACATTTGATTTCGGAAGCTGTCAGGAATGGCTCTTGGAAGCCGGTTATTTTGGGAAGAGGAGGGCTTCAGAATTCCCACTTGTTCTTTGCTGATGATCTTTTTCTTTTTGGTAGAGCTTCATAAGCTCAGGCCAGAGTTATCCGTGGGGTACTTGATAAGTTTTGTTCGGCGTCGGGTGCTAAACTGAGTCTTGAAAAATCAAAAATGCTTATTTCACCACATGTTTCTCGCAGGCATAAGCGAAGAGTGTGTATGACCATTGGCATTGGTGCTACGAATGACATAGGAAAGTACTTGGGTGTACCGTTGATTCATGGGAGAGTTGTTAAGGGTACTTTCAGGGAGTTGGTTGATAAAGTTACAGCCCGGGTCTCTGGGTGGAAGGCTAAAACTCTAAGCTTGGCTGGTCGTGCAACTTTGATTGGGCCAGTCTCTTCTTCTATTCCCACTTATTCCATGTTAACTAATAGATTGCCGACATGTATCCTTGATGCTTTGGATAAGGTTAATAGACGTTTCCTATGGGGTGGAAGTGAGAATAAGCGCCATATGCATTTGGTCAGCTGGGATACTGTTTGTAAACCGAAACGTTTAGGTGGGTTGGGTTTACGAAACATGGAAATACATAATAGGGTTTTGATGCAAAAGACTGCCTGGAGATTCCTATCTAATCCGGATAGCCTTTGGGTTAAATTTTTGAAAGCTAAGTATTATGTTACTGGTGATGTTATTGATTTTGCCTTGCACCAGCATGGTACCAAAGCAGTCTGGTCTCATTCTTGGCGTGGTTTGCTTTCTGCGTTGCAAGAGTTAGCTACGGGTTTGGTTAAAAGAGTGGGGGATGGTAGTTCTATCAGGTTTTGGTATGATAGATGGTTGGATACGCCTATTATTGAAAGCTTCTCGAGCCCGCCTGATTATGCCCAGGAAGAAACAAAGGTATGTGATTTTATTTTGGCTAATGGTAGCTGGGATTCAGATAGTTTATTTGCTCAAGTTCCGTATGCTTGCCTCGTATTCGGAACTTGTCTGATGGCTATATTTGGAAGTCTTGTTCAAATGGTTGTTTTTCTACGGCTTCTGCCTATCTTAAAATTCTACTGGACCGTGGTATAGATAGTAATGTTAATTTGGCATGGATTTGGAAGTTGCCTATACCAGCCTGTTGGATATACTTTATTTGGTTAGCTTTGCAGGACCGTTTAGTGACTAATGCTTTTCGGGCCTCTCGAGGGCTTGCTCCAAGTGCCTCTTGCTCTTTGTGTGGACATGTAATGGAGGATAGCCTGCATGTACTTCGTGATTGTCCTGATGCAAGGGCTGTTTGGGAGCTTTTACGTCCAGGTGTATCTTGGCATTCTTTCTCTAATGTTTCTCTACATCAATGGTTGGAAGGTAACTTAACGTAGGCCACTGCAATAGATGTTATTTTCTTTGCTACAGCTTGTTGGAGAATTTGGTGTAGGCGATGTCGCTTTATCTTCGAGGACGAGTTTCCGGTGGATACTGCTGAGGGACTGGTTTATAATATTATGGTAACTGCTAAGGAAATATGTTCTGTGACTTTGAAAGCCACTAGGAATTTGTTATCAGAGAAATTAATTCACTGGACTCCCCCACCTGAGATGGTTGTTAAGCTTAATACGGATGGTGCATCCCGTGGCAATCCTGGGATTGCTGGTGCTGGTGGTTTGATTCGTGATTCTACAGGAAAATGGTTTGTTGGTTTTGCAGCACAGTTAGGTGAGTGTTCTAACATGGTTGCGGAATTACAAGCTTTGAAGCTGGGTGTGATGCTAGCCTGGAGGAAGGATTTCAACATGTTGTTTGTGAACTTGGATGCGAAGGTTGTCTTGGACCTCATTCTTTGTGCTGATATCTCTTTTCATCCTTTGGGTGCTTTGATCCTGGATTTTAGGGAGCTACTTCAATGGGAGTGGACTTGCTCTTGTCAACACATATTACGAGAGGGCAACTTCTGTGCAGATTTACTTTCAAAGATGGGTTGTGAGTTCGACCAAGAGTACGAGCTTTTTCGTTCGCCTACCTGAGCAAATTTTACGGATGTTGCAAGCGGATGTGCGAGGGGTAGCATACCCCAGGGGCTTCACCCTAATTAAGGAATACTCTCAATCGGACATTACGGACAAGTCCATTGTTGGGAGTTTGATGAGTGAGTTGACGACCAAGAAATTTAACTGGTCTCAGCCCATTCATGATCATGTGACTGAAATGGCAAATCTTGCTGCAAAGCTGAAAGCATTGGGAATGGAGGTAAGTGAGTCTTTCCTTGTCCAGTTCATTATCAACTCACTTCCTCTAGATTTTGGCCAGTTCCAAGTGAATTATAATTCACTTAAGGAAAAATGGAACTTTCAAGAAATTAAGGCCATGCTGGTTCAGGAGGAAGGGAGATTGAAGAACATGAAGGAACAGACTGTCCATCTGACGATGCATGAAGGAGGTAGTAGCAGTAAGGCTAAACCAGGTAGAAAGGATAAGGACAAAAAGTGGACAATTCCTCATTGAAGGTTAAGAAGGGACATGTCCGTAAGGAAATGAGGTGCTTCTTCTGCAAGAAGATTGGCCATCTCAAAAAAGACTGTCCGAAAAGAAAGGCTTGGTTCGAAAAGAAAGGTACATATTATGTTTCAGTATGTTTCGAATCAAATCTTATTGAAGTTCCTAGTAATACCTGGTGGTTAGATTCGGTGCAACTACTCATGTGTCACATGTTATGCAGGGATTTCTTTCAATCCAGCCCATAAGCGGAAATGAAAAGTTTGTGCATATGGGGAACAGAATGAAGGCACGAATAGAAGGGATTGGGACTTACAGATTGATCTTGGATACCGGCTGTTATCTAGATCTTGAAAAGTGTCTTTATGTTCCCGAATGAGCTAGAAATTTAGTTTATGTTGGAAAGATGGATATTTTAGGTTTTGACTGTAAGATTGCAAACGGTGTTTTTTCATTATATAGACAAAAGTACTTTTATGGATCTGGTACTTTAATTGATGGTTGATGTTAATTTTTCTGAATCCCTGTTTCATGTTGAACACAATATGGTAGTAAGCGTAGTGCACATAATGAAAACTCTGCTTTCTTGTGGCATCAAAGATTAGGTCACATATCCAAAGAAAGGATTATGAGGTTGGTGAAAGGTGATATCTTACCTCAATTGGATTTTGTTGACTAGAATGTATGTGTGGATTGCATAAAGGGAAAGCAAGCCAGTCACACATCAAAGAATCCAGCCACAAGAAGTAGTCAACTTCTTGAGTTGATACACACTGATATATGTGGTCCCTTTGATGCTCCATCATGGAATGGTGAAAAGTACTTCATTACCTTTATAGATGATTACTCACGGTATAGTTATATATATCTCCTGCATGAAAAGTCTCAATCAGTGGATGTTCTAAAGGTGTTCATTGATGAGGTGGAAAGGCAGTTAGATAGAAAGGTAAAGGTTGTGAGATCAGATCGAGGTGGTGAGTAATATGGTAAATATGATGAGAGTGGACAATGTCCTAGTCCGTTTGCAAAGTTTCTCGAAAGTCGGGGCATATGTGCACAGTATACTATGCCCGGTACACCACAACAAAATGGTGTAGCTGAAAGGCGGAATCGTACTCTTATGGAAATGGTTAGGAGTATGTTGAGTTATAGTAATGTACCTTTGTCGTTGTGGATGCATGCGTTAAAGACTGCTGTATATCTGCTAAACAGGGTTCCTAGTAAGGCAGTTCCTAAGACACCTTATGAACTATGGACAGGTAGGAAACCCAGTTTGAGGCACCTACATGTTTGGGGATGCCCAGCAGAAGTAAGGATATACAATCCACATGAAAAGAAGCTTGATGCAAGAACCATTAGCGGTTACTTCATTGGCTATCCAGAAAAAAGTCAAAGGGTTATAGATTTTACTGTCCTAACCATAGTACGAGAATAGTTGAGTCTAGGAATGCTAGGTTCATTGAGAATGGTCAGTTTAGTGGGAGTGGAGAACAAAGAAAAGTGGACATTAAAGAAATTCAGCGTGAAATCCCTACGTCCAATGATTCTCATCAAGCTGTTGTTCCTCTCGTTGTATCACAGTTGCACAACGTACGAGAACAACGAATTCATGTTACAAACCCACAAGGTGAACATGAAGGTGTTGATCCTCCAAATCAACAAGATGAACCAGCAAATAATGTATAAGTTGAAATTGAGCAAACAGTAAATGAACCACAAGAAGTGGCATTAAGGAGGCCTGTAAGGCAAAGAAGACCAGCTATTTCGCAGGATTTTGAGGTTTACTCAATTGAACATGAATGTGACTTGAGCATTGATGATGACCCAGTCTCGTTCAAACAAGCCATGGAATGTAACAATTCCGAAAAGTGGTTAAATGCCATGAAAGAAGAGTTGAAATCAATGGATGACAACAAAGTCTGGGAATTAATTGAGTTGCCTGAAGGTTCAAAACAAGTTGGTTGTAAATGGGTCTTCAAGACCAAAAGAGATTCGAAAGGCAACATAGAAAGATATATGGCTAGACTTCTCGCCAAGGGTTACACTCAAAAGGATGGCATTGACTACGAAGAGACTTTCTCTCCAGTCTCAAAGAAAGACTCTTTAAGGATTGTTATGGTTTTGGTGGCTCATTATGATTTGGAGCTTCACCAAATGGACGTAAAGACCGCCTTTCTAAATGGTGACTTGGAAGAAGAGGTGTATATGGACCAACCAGAAGGCTTTTCGACCACAGGAAAAGAAAAGTTGGTGTGTAAGTTAAAGAAGTCAATATATGGACTGAAACAAGCTTCCAGACAATTGTATCTTAAGTTCAACGATACCATAAAGTCATACGGTTTTGTAGAAAACACTGTTGATCGGTGTATCTATATGAAGGTCTGTGGGAATAAGTTCATTATATTAGTCCTATATGTTGATGATATTCTTCTTGTTACTAATGACGCTGGGTTGTTACATGATGTAAAGAAGTTTCTCTCTAACAAATTTGAAATGAAAGATATGGGTGAGGCATCCTATGTGATTGGGATAGAAATATTCCGTGATAGATCACAAGGACTGTTAGGATTGTCTTAGAATAGCTACATCAATAAAGTGTTAGAGAGATTCAGAATGGAAAAATGTTCTGCTGGAATAGTTCCAATTCAGAAAGGGGACAAGTTCAGTCAAATGCAATGTCCTAAGAATGATTTGGAACGAAAGGCTATGGAATCTATTCCCTATGCATCAGTGGTTGGGAGCTTAATGTATGCCCAGACCTGTACTCGGCCAGATATCAGCTTCGCTGTTGGAATGTTAGGCCGATATCAAAGTAATCCCGGAATGGACCACTGGAAAGCTGCAAAGAAAGTCCTTAGGTACTTACAAGGCACCAAGGATTACATGCTCACGTACAGG